ACACACACACACACACACACACAGCCGTCGTTGGTGCCGGCCATCCTAGACGCATTCTCAGACCTCAAGTACGAACACGACGTTGATGATGTTGGTGGTGGTGTTGTCGATGATGCTGTGTATCTGTGGTGTGTTCCTCAGCCACTAAGTTCTTGGATTGCAACGCAGCCATTCCACCACCATCCCTCACCATCTTTCCCCCTCCCCCTCCCCCACATACACACCCTACTGTGCAGTGTGGCGCAGGCGTGCCTGCGCGAGATCTGCGACCACGTGTTGAGCCAGCTTGGATCGTACAGTACAGCGTGCCTCCCAATCGTCATCAAGTTTCTCATGCAGCAAGGTGGTGGCGGTACTGTTGAGGGCGGCGAGGAGTGGGAGATGATGCCAGAGTGTGTGACAGTGTGTGACGGTGATCTCACATGCGCCTGTCTGCAAGTGTCACTGCGGCTTGTTCTCTCGCAGCCGATCCCTCACATGCCTTCACACACACACACACACACACACACACATGTACGTTGATGTTCAGCGGATGGAATGGATGATGTGAATGCGCTGACAGCGAACATGCAACACCAACAACAAGGCGACGATCACCATGTGCTTGTCTGTGGTGGCTGCCATCAAGAACGGGCTGGCATTTGATGCGCGCATTGCAAAGGCGTGGCTGCGGCCAACTCAAAACGACGGTGGCCCAGCCAATCACCGCCCTCGACCTGCTTGTGCTGCTGCTGCTTCACCAAGCACCAGAACGCCCACTGCCGCGGCGCAGAGACCACCGTGATCAAGCTTGCAAGCACGGGCCGGCTCACCGCCGTCATGGCTGCTGCCATGTTTGCCAGACACACGCGCGCATTCTTGATGTGGTTCAAGTCGATTGTGCACATGGCCAACATCCTGAACCGGCGGCAGCCGCCACCTCGCCTCCACAGCAGGAGGTGGTTGGGGCGCCGGTGGCGCACATTGGCACGGGGCAGGCACAGGAGGTGGACGCAGCCATGCCTGTGCTGCTACTGTCGCTGGCCACAGGCCACCTGAAGCTGCTGCACCCATTTGCGCTCATGTTGGACGGCACCCTGGACTGCCTAAGCAACCTGCACTTCATCCACATCCGGCAGCTCTTCCGTGTCCTGACCACGCTCACGTTTCACCGCCAGTGCACCGCAGCCCCAGGCCTCAGAGGAAGATGGTGTGTGTGTGTGTGTGTGTGTGTGTGTGTGTGTGTGTGTGTGTGTGTGTGTGTGTGTGTGTGTGTGAGTGTGTGAGTGAGTGAGTGTGTGTGTGTGTGTGTGTGAGTGAGTGTGTGTGTGTGTGTGCATGAACTTGTGCGTTGGGGAAGGCGTGTTGGACAACATAATGTCCTTCCATGAAAAGCGCCTCTCACCCTTCACACCAACACCGCCACCACCACAATCCCTTCTGCATTGCACCTCGTGTATGGCAGCTGTCTCAATCGAATGAAGAGCTGAAACGCAGCGGCACCATCGCTGCTACCACCGTCACCCGCACCTGGCTCACTCTCGCCAACGACACAGACACCTCCATCGGCCGTGCGTTCGTGCGTGCATGCGTTTGCGCCCTTGTCTGCACCCTTGTTTGCGGTTCACCTGAGTCCCCCGTGTGTACCTGTCGTGCTCCTCCTCATCAATCACTCACCCGTCTCCTCGCCTGTCCAACAGGCGACCACCTCTCCTCGCTTTTGCATACATTGCAGCTCATCTATGTCGACAAGTGCAAACAGCTGACATGCTCCGTTGCCACTAGTTCTCCACAGCCACGCCCAGCCATTTGCCCGCCCATTGTGGCCTCCGTTTCCTCCCCCTCCCGCCACCACCAACAACCACCAAGAACAAAGCACATCTGTCGGGATGCCATCGCGCCGCAGGTGAACGGGGATGGCGGACTCACCATCGACCCACCGCCGCCACGGCCGCTTGGCTTCAGGTCGCTCGCCGACCCCGGCAGGCACGTGTGGAGGGAGCCGGGACCCCAAGCGCACGTTCCAGCACAACAACACCGTCAACACGATTGTGGTTTGCGCAGACGGACGGGTGCGCCCCAAACGCGGGAGATGTGCTCTAACTTGTCGCCTGAGTACACGCGCGCGCGCGAGGTGGACAAGGACACGCACGTGGTCGTCAACGAGAAGACGCTGCAGGCGCCGTTCGAGACGAAGCTGAAGCTGCTGTCAGGGATTGCCGCCGTGTTCGCGGGCATGATGCGCAGCCAGACCGACGAGGAGACAAGACTGCGGAAGCACGCTGCCGGAACGCAGACCTCTTCACGTTCCTGACGTCGCTGCAGCCCTTTGTATGGTGGGACCTGTCGCTGGGGACGGGCAACCTGAACCCCGAGGAGGAGACGGTGGTGGAGGTGCAGCACGAGAGTTGGGCGCATCCCCGATTGGCGTGGGCCTGCAGCGACGACGTGCTGTTCCGCACGGTCGCGGACGGACAGCGAGTACATTCTGGCGACCCAGCCCTCCGACAAGGCTGCTGGGCGTCGCGCACGCTGTGGCCGAACCCGCTGCCGATGCGGCCGCACATTCACGTGCTGATGGAGTGAGGCTACTTTTCCACCAGCCGCACCCTGGAGCTGATGCGTGGATGGGTTGGTGAAGTGGATACGAGAGCCAGTGTGTGGTTGACGTGTGGTGTGGTAGGTTGTATGCTCGTTGCTTGTCAGCCGGTTGGATCGCGTGAAGAGTTTACTACAGTGTCACACAAACAAAGCAAAGTCAAGCAAGGCAAGGCAAGCGGCAAGCAAGCACGTTAAGGTAGAAAGGAGCAAAGGAGCAAAGAGAGAAACCAGCAAACCAGCAAGCACGCACGCACACACACACACACACACACACACAGCACAGCACACAGTCAAGTGGTGGTGTTGATGCGGTTGTTGATGGCGGTGCACCAGTCAGCGAGCGAGGTGTCAGAGTGCGCGTGCAGGCGGAAGACGAAGGTGCGGCCGGGAACAGCAACGTGTAACTCCTCGCCACCATGGGCGAGCTCAGCTGACTGCACGCTGGAAAGGGGGATGCGTCGCTTGGCCGTGCCTGACGCGCACTTGCCGTACGCGAGGTGGCCGTCGTCGTCAAACTTGCACCAGCACGGGCGAAAGGCGGCCCTCCGTCGCCCACGCTTCCGCAACCAGCCGATCAGTGGCTCACCAGGGCACTTGCAAGCGTCCTTGTACAACGCTCTTGCTGGTGCAGAGTAGCCACGAGGACAGCCGTGCCCAGTCCCTGTCTTCTTGTCCTCACCGTCGCTGCCTGTGTTTGCTGGGCGTCTTGCCTCAGCGTGAACCTGTGCAAGTGCACCGAGAAACCGCATAAGCAAGTTGCGTTGTGGAGCAGACGACTGGTACACAACAGCAGACGAGATGAACCGAAGAAGAAGGTGGCGATGAGCAAGCACGTTTTGCTGCTGAAGTCGAGACCCTGACACGTGTTGCGTGGATGCATGCTGGGCGTTCACAGCACCACCACCACAAATGCGCCGCAGGCTGCGCTCCGCCTTGCGGGTGTTTGGGTGGTCTGGCCCAAGCGTGGTCGCGAAAACGTCGAGTGCCTGCTGGACATAGGCGCAGGCCTGCTCCTTGTCCCCTCGCGTGTCGTGCAGCAGGCCAATGTTGAAGTACGTCATGGCCGTGCTCGGGTGCTTCTCGCCCAGCGTCTCCACCTTGATGGCGAGGGCCTGCTCGTAGTGGTGGATGGCTTTACCGTACTGGCCCTTGTCGACGTAGGCGGCGCCGAGGTTGTTGTACGTGTCGGCTGTGCTTGGGTGTTTCTCGCCCAGCGTCTCCGCGTAGATGGCGAGGGCCTTCTCATAACACGCAATGGCCTTGTCGTATTCGCCCTTGCGGGCGTAGGCGCCGCCGAGATTGTTGTACGACGTGGCTGTGCTCGGGTGCTTCTCCCCCAACGCCTCCACAGTAATGGCGAGGGCCTTCTCATACAACGCAATTGCCTTGTCGTAGTCGCCTTTGTCGTGGTAGGCGCCGCCGAGGTTGTTGTACGTCTGTGCTGTGCTCGGGTGCTTCTCACCCAGCGTCTCCACCCTGACGGCGAGCGCCTTGTCAAAACACTCGATCGCTCTGTCGTAGTCGCCCTTGCTGTAGTAGACGCTGCCGATGTTGTTGTAGGTGTCGGCTGTGTTCGGGTGCTTCTCACCCAACGCCTCCACCATGATGGCGAGCGCCTGCTCATAAAACGCAATCGCCCTGTCGAGCTCGCCCTTCTTCTCGTAGGCGATGCCGAGGCCCACACACGAGTCGGCTGTGCTGGGGTGCTTCTCGCCCAGCGTCTCCACCGTGATGGCGAGGGCCTTCTTGTAGTAGTGGATCGCCTTGTCGAAGTCGCCCTTGCTGTAGTAGGCGGTGCCGAGGTTGTTGTACGTGCTAGCTGTACTGGGGTGTTTCTCCCCCAGCGTCTCCACCGTGATGGCGAGGTCCTTCTCGTAAAACGCAATCGCTCTGTCGTACTCGCCCTTGCTGCAGTAGGCGTTGCCGAGGTTGTTGTTCGACACTGCCACGTTCTCTCCTTTCTCCTTTTCGGTGCGCAGGTAAACTGCCAGCGCTGTCTCGTAGTAGGCAATTGCCTTGTCGTGCTCGCCAAACTCGCTCAGCACCGACCCAACCGCACCACACAGCCCCGCGAAGGCGTCAGTTTTGTCCTCGCCTCGTGCTCGCATTGTTTCGACGGCACCCACCGCCTTTTGCAGGCACCACGCGCGCAGCTGGTCCTTCACGGCCTGGTTGACTGCGCCAAAGCCGCCCGCCCACGACTCGATCGCCGTGAAGATCATGTGTTTGTCGTGCGGGTTGAAGGCGTCGGCTCGCTCTGCCTGCACGCGCACCAGCGTGTCTGTGACGGCTTTATAGTCGTTGTAGATGGTGTGTTCGAGCGCCTGTTCTTCGCTCTTGGGCAGTTGGATGGTGACCTCTGTGCCTTCGTTGCTGATGCCACAGAAGATCTCCCACAAACACCACGCGCGTGTCAAGGGAACAGGGTCTCGCCACGGCATGAGCACCAGCAGCACATGGCCAATGTTGGCAATCGACTTCTTGAACGTCGTGCTCCACCTGCGGGTGTTGAGCAAGGGAAAGGGGGAGAGGAAAGGGTGGAGGGAAGAGCAAGATGGGGAGGAAAGGAGAGAGGTTGTTGTGCTGTTGTGAGGGAACAGTGTGTGCGTGTGTCTGTGTGCGTGTGTGTGTGGGTGGCAGTAGTTGTTGAAGAGCACAAGAGTTTCACACACACACACACACACACACACACACAGCTGCACACACACACACACACACACACACACACACACACACAAAACGCACCACTCTTGTGGGAGGTTGGCCGTGACGTTGGCGTTTTGGTTGTTCATGAAGAGGTCAAACCAGAAGAAGACTGGCTGGCTGTCTTCCTTGCTTGCTTGCTCCTCTGCAAACTCCAGCAAGACGTTGAGCACGTCTGCGATCTTGTACCGCCATGCGTGCGACACAAAGACGGTGGCCTTGTTCACGTGTTCTGGCGACTGCTTGCGCAGCTGCTCGACGTAGGCGCAGTTGTCCTGGCGTGTGCGTGGCACAACCAGTTGCTTGCAGGCATCCTCCGTGGTCATCTCAGTGTACGTGTCGGGGAACTCCTTCTTCAGGTCTGCGAAAAAGGTCTTGATCGCCTCCACAGACACGCCGTCTGTCAGGCGGTGCTCGTCGGCCATCGTGGCTCTGTTCTTGTAACAGAAGAACTGAAATTGAAGGCAGACGTGCGGAGAAACGCACAAGCTTGCGGTGGCGCTGCTTTGGGGGGAGGGGCTGGGAGGAGAGGAGAGAGGAGAACACTGACAACAGGCGCAACAGCTGAGAAATGAACCCTGCAGCCACGCCCCAATTTCTCCCAATTGCACTCCACCGCAACCCAATGGGACGGGCCCAAGTCAGTTGGCCTGTTGGTGGGCGGGGCACCCAACGCAGCAGCGAGAAGCCTGGCGTGCGTTCTGGGCAGTGTGGTTCAGCGTTTCGCTTCGACACCGCAAACAAAGACACACAACAAACCTTCTAACCTTTGGGTGGCGACTGAGACGCGCCACTTCCAGAACGGGTCCTTCTTGGCGCGCTGGCTGGGAAAGTGCGTGGTCGACCGACTTCCGCCTCGCCTTTCGCGCGGTGGAGCTTCAGCGCCACAAGCAGGCTAGCGGCAGGCACAGAAACCAAGATGAGGAAGGCGGGAGGAAGGACATCCCTCGAAGTTTGCACGAAAGGCTTCTCTCTCGGTCTTTGGACATGCTGGACATTGGCGTTGAGGTGGGGGGGGGGGGGGCGTGTGTCGTGTTGTGTCCTTGCGTGTGGTCTTTGGTTTTTCTCTTTGGGAATCACTGCGTCGGAGACGGAGGAGTGGTCTAGTGGTGTCGCTGTAGGACTGTGTAGACGTGTGCTTTCTCTTGCACCTGGCTGGCACAGCTCGGGTGTGACGTTTGTGCTTTCTTTCTCTCATTCTCTTCTCCGTTCGCCAGTCCTCCCCTCGTTTCCTTCTCGAGCACCCTTGCCATCGACAAGCAGGCCAGCGTATCGATCGACGTCATAGCGTCCGACCCAACGCAGCCCAGCCCAGGCAGCTCCCCTTTTCAAGCAGCCAAGTCTTTCCACGCACCTCTGCTTCTTTTCTTTCCAGACCATTTTCCCACAGTCGCACACGACCTCAAAACACCATCCGCCTGCTCACACAGGGCAGAACCAGTACAACACACAAACACACAGAGACACACACACATACAGACACACACACACACACACACACACACACACACAGCAGCCAACCAACCATGAACACCACGGTTATGGCCAACACGAGCATGTTCCCGACCTTCAACAACAAACATGACGAGCACCAGCGTGTTGACCTCCTCCCCGACCTCGACATGGACGACGGGCCCCTTCACCACGCAGACGCCGGCGCCAACTCCGATTCCAGGCAGCCTGGACACCCCGTGGTACTTCAGCGACGTGCTGGACCTGCCCGCCCTCATCTTGTACGGCATCGTCGGCGCTAACCTCGTGCTCAGCTTCACGGCGTGGTTCGTCCTGAAGTGCTGCTTGCATCGCCCGCGCTCGGCGCGTCGCGTGCGCTTCGTTGCGCCCATTGTGCATTTCCTCGTCTTCTTCCTGTTTGAGTTTGTGGTTCTCTGTGCTCGACTTCACGCCTGGACCACCAACGACAACGAGTACACGCCGTCGTGGACGGCGGAGGGCGAAATGGTGTTCCCCAGTCCAGCGTTTAGCTCAAGCCTCAGCCCCGATTTCCTGCGCGAGGTTGGCTGCGGCGACTTCATCTTGACCAATGGCACAACGAGCACACTGGAGCCGGTTGGCCCCAGCGAGTGCAGCTTGGGCATCCGGATCGGAGCAAAGCTGTCGCCAGGCACGGTGGCCACCATCAGCCTGGTCCTCGGCTTGATGGGGTTCGTCCTGCTGGAGATGTTTGTGCTCCTGCTGGAGATGGGAGATGGAAGGGAACTGGAGCGCCTCAAGCTGAAAACCTTGGTGATGTTGCCCTCGCTCAAGGCCGTTTTGAAACGGGACATTTCCGTCGATGACTTCAACAACTCCCGGGATGAGGACTTTGATGAGGAGGAGCAGGGGCTGGTTGAAAGGCAGCGCCATACTGCTGAAGGATGCGCGAAGGTCGTGCTGTCTTCCTGTCTTTAACAGTCCCAGTGCATCCAACTCAATCAATGATCCTTGATGCCCTACTGCCGATAATTGATCAAAATATTCAACAAACATCCACAAACAACTCGGCGATCTCTGACAACAACAACGCCCCTTCTGTGCTCAGTGGCTGCTTCCCACCTCTCCATCAGGAGCAAGCCAGAACCATGGCGCTGCGAGGACGAAAGCGCAGAGCCATCGCTGCCGTGGAAGAGGGGCATCAACTCACCCAACTTGCGTGGAATGAGCGCGTGGACAAAGAACATGCAGACACACAGAAACTGTTTCCCACAGCCGCTGACACTGAGTCCTCTGTGAGTGTGAACTCCCAGTCCACATCACTGTTTCACCTCATCCCTGACACACACACACACACACACACACACACACACACACACACCCACACACACACACACACCCACACCCACACACACACCCACACCCACACACACACCCACCCACCCACACACACACACACACACACTCTCTCTCTCTCATGCGTGTACACTGGGCATGCTTGTATGTTTGCTTGCATTGGATGTTCTACGCAGGGACATTTCCGGAAACTGGAAGACCTCATCCAGCGGTACGCTGATGTCGATTGACATGCACGCTGCGACCGCCTGGCTTCTCTTGGAATCTATCGTTGCACCTGTTCTGTCTGTGCTCACTCAGCCCACTCACTGACCATACTGCCTGCGCGTATGAGGGTTGCAGTTTCCACATGGGCGATGCCCGATCCTCAGCTCTGGAATCTTCTCAAGGCTGGGGAGCATTGCAGTTTGCAGACAAGGCCTCAGAGGTATACGTGTGTGCTGTTGTGAGCTCCATGTCACTGCCGACACTGAACTGTTGTCGTTTGTGCACGTCTCAAGGTCTTGGTCTGCTTGAGCATTGTGTGAAGTCACCATCCTCAGCAAACATCTCACATATGCCGCTTTCATTGCTCGTGGTGATGCAGGTGCCGTACCTGTGCTTGTCGACAGAAGACAGCCCCATGGATGCCTGCGAGTTTGCAGAGCTGATGTTGATGCGGCAGCGAGGTCGCAGCTTTGTGCAACCTAACTTGGTTGTGAGCGCGACCGGTGGAGCACGGCAGTTCACCCTTGCCGATGACACTCAGCGGCAGTTGACGCAGTTTTTGCAGTTGGTGTCGCAGCGCACAAATGCATGGATCACCACTGGGGGCTGTGACACAGGTGAGCGTTGTGCTTGCGCTTGCGCGTCTGCGTACGCATCTGTGTGTGTGCGTGTGCGTGCGTATGTGTGTGCTTGTGCTTGTGCGTGTGCGTGTGCGTGTGCGTATCTGTGTGTGCGTGCGCGTATCTGTGTGTGCGTGCGTGTGCGTGTGCGTATCTGTGTGTGTGTGTGTGTGCGTGACTGCCTGCATATCTGCGTGTGTGTGTGTGTGTGTGTGTGTGCGCGTGGCTGCAAGCATGTCCTGCATCTCACTCCCTTCCATGCACGCCGTGGTTGAGTAGGCTGCATGAAGCTGGCTGCAGATATCCTGCAACAAACAGAAGAGGACAACAGCAGACACGCTCCATTCGTGATTGGCATTGGTGAGGAGGCCAGCGATAGATTTGCGCTGTGTGAATCATGGCTCACTCTTGTTTCGCACCACCTTACGACTACCCACACGTTCTCGCTATGCGTGCTCCTATTTTTAGGCACATTTGGCGTCATCAAGAACCACGAAGCCCTCATTTCTGTTGGTGGCCCATTCCAGTACATGCACACACAGACACACATACACACAGACACACAGACACACAAACACATACACACACAAACACACGCACACACAGACACACACACACACACAGACAGACATACACACGTACACACACATACACACATACACACGCACACACACGCACACACACACCACCAAAACTGCCAGATTCCCGCTTCGTGCCATAGTCTCATAGTTGCTTCGTTGTGCCTTGGCGTTTCATTGTGCTCGCGTGAAGGCTGGGGACCCTCCACATCATATCGATTACAGCAGCCTGGGAGATAACCACACGTTCGGCGTAGCGCTCAATGCCCAACATGACTTGTTCTTGCTGGTGGATGATGGTACACGGAGTCGCTTTGGTGTGGAGATCGCGTTTCGCCAAGCGTTTGAACAGGTGTGTGAAGGTGTGATCGATGCATTGTGTGGTCATGTACTCTTGTTGCGACTTGCCTTCGTGTGTGTTCACCACCGTCTCCAGCCATGTGGTAACGTGAGCCGTTTGCTCATGCGATCGGTGCATGTTTGCGTGGAACGTGCGCGTCATCCTTTGCGCAACAGGCAGCAGCACAACACTTCCACGCTCCCGCTGTCACTGTTGTGATTCAAGGTGGACCAGGCATCCTCTACACGGCGTGCCGCTCAGGTCTGGGGCCTTCTCGGGACACATGTACACGAACGCATGATGCGGTGTCTTGTGTGCCGGCCTCTTACTCACACAAGCACACGCACACCCACACACACACACACATACACATGCACACACCCACGCACACACACACACACACACACTCACACGCAAATACACACACACACTCTCTCAATCACTCCCACGCACACTAACACACACGCAAATACACACATATTGCATCAACTGCTGCAGCTCAGGACGGCTGGCCTGTGCTAGTCATGGCAAACAGTGGGCTCGCTGCTGACATCATCGCATATGCCTACCACTTCACGCACAGCCCGTTGTACGTTGTTGCTGCTGCGAATCTGACTCAATGTGCCCGATACCTCTCCAAGAACGCCATCCATCCGCACATGAACATGCATCCATGCAGGCGTCTCACGTGCCGTCATGTCGTCGTCTCCTGCGAGTGTGTCATCTTCTCAGGCCTGAGCACACGTCGCTCACGTGGGAGGGCCTGCAGGGGCTGATCAAAGACAACTTCGCGACGGGCGATGATTCAGCCAGACTTCGGCGTCTTCTGGATGATGCCTTGGAAGTGGCCCATAACGACTTGGTACGGTGGCATGTGTGCGTTCGTGCGCGCGCACGTGTGTGTTGCATGTATGTGTGTGTGTGTGTGTGTGCATGTGCATATTTATGTGTGTGTTTGCATGCGTACGTTTGTGCATTGCTGTCCTTGCATGCGTGAAGTGTTTTGCAGGTGTGATGTGGAAGCCCGCGAGCCGCCCCTCTTTGTTTGTTCGCAATGGCTGCCGGTGCTGACCGCCTTGTTCTGCTTTTGATGGTTCCCCTGACGCAGGTTCGCGTGATTGGCGGTCAAGGCAAGACTCTCGACGACATGATGCAAACATTCCTTGAGGTGCGTGATCGAGCTCTTGCTTGCAAACATGCGTGTGTGTGTGCGTGTGTGCGTGTGAGCTCGTGTGTGAGGCTGTGTGTGTGTGTCTGTGTGTGTCTGTGTGTGTATGCTCGCGTGTCTGCGCCATCTTGGGCGTTCGAGCGAAGAAGACGCGTGCACGGCCGCCACTGCTGACGCAGCGAGTATCGTTGCTATGCTACTCAGGTCACCTCTGGAGCGGACACTCCGGAAGCGATTCGTGTCAAATACGGTAGGATCAGCCAGCATCTGGGCATTCCCACAGCACACCCACCCACACACACACCCATCCACACACACACCCACACACACCCATCCACACACACACACACACACACACACACACACACACACACACACACACACACACACACACACACACACACACACACACACACACACACACACACACACACCCTTTCTCCCCACAACTGATTGCCTCCCCCCCTCTCAAATCCCGGCTGCTCAATGGATTCTCGCAGAGATGCTGTTCCACGAGTACGCCGATTCCCTCAATCTCGACCGCAAATCTCTGTCGCTGAAATCCTACGACGTCAGTCCCCACGCCGCCGCGTGCCTTTCCTTGCTTGGGTTTGGTTTACCTGTTGCATGGTGCGCGTACGCGCGTGCGGGTGCGTGTGTCGTATCCGCCTGTGTGTGCCGCCCAGCGCCTTCACGCACTCGCTCACCTGCATGCTTACCCACTCGTGTGCCGTGCTTCCTCGCACGCGTCTTGCGCCTGACAGACATCCGACCTGCACATGCTGCTGCGCATTGCCCTGGACACGAACAACCACGTTTACACCGAGGACCTCATCATGCTTCTGGTGAGCAACCTGTTGTCGTCATTGGTGCTTCATCAACCCAACCGTTTGTCAACATGCATACACTGCTCCATGCGGTCATCAACCAACCAATTCCATGCACAATGGACATGGGCGCTGCATATATATTTGTGTTTAACAATGGCCCATTCCCCCCTGCCCTCTCTTCCTGTCTTCCCTTCATCTCCTCACACATCCCCCACCACATTCTTCCGGCCTCAATTTCTCCTCCCACGCCTCCCCCTATCTATTCGTCCGTGTTCCTTTTTGTCGCGTGGCCAGGGCGAGCACATTGGCGAGTTGCTGGAGCCTGCACTTCGCGCCGTGCCCACAATGGTCATTCGCTCGCTCAGCACAGACAGGTTCTCCAGCGCGTATCGGAAGCGCGTGTCACCCACTGTGCAGGAGTGCATCGCGCGCCTGATTGAAAAGGACTTGGGCGAAGCCGTCGACACGGCGGCCGAGTGCCCGCTCATGCAAGTTGCCGACAGCACGTCTCGCTCGGAGCTCATGCACGCGGCCATCAACAACGATGTCTCCGTTGCCATGCGCCTTGCGACGGACTTCTTTGAGCTCAAGCCCGAGCCCGAATTTGCCAGTGCCCCTGTCACAGCCCGCCTGCGTCCGGGTGAACTGGTGGTTGTGGGCAAGGATGAGCTGTGGAAGCGGGACAAGAAAAGCGCACTGTATCGCGAGCTGCGTCGACAGACCGGCAACAACGCAAACGTGCGCACGCAGGCCCTCGCCCTGGACATGGAGCAAGCGTGTACCAAGGAGCCCGACAGCCTCTTCTCAGAGATTATCGCCAGTGGCAAGGCGGAGCTGTTCCAGCTGCTGGCACTGCGGGCAGCCGTGCAGCTGCGCTGGGTCACGTACGGCCGCACCCTCTTCTTCTTCGAAGGCGTGCAGTACCTGGTGTCGCTCTGCCTCCTCGTCTTCCTCTCGCTCACCATGACCACGTTTGGCACGCCGCCAAGTGGCTCACACTATCGAGCCGTCATCGCCACCATCTCCTTGACATCACTCGCAGCGCTGAATGAGGTGAAGCAGCTGCTTCGCAGTCGCTCGCGCTACTTCAGCAACATTTGGAACTGGCTCGACATGGCACGGGCGGCTCTCACGCTCTCCTTCTGCATCCTGCACCTCCAAGGCGACACGCAGGCCCGCACGCTGCTGGCATACGCGGTGATTGTGCAGTGGCTGCGGCTGCTGTACTTCCTGCTGCCGTTTGACAGCACCGGCCCACTCATCATCATGATCCTCGAGATCTTGAAGGACACGTACGTGTTTTTGATTGTGCTCGTGACCGTTGTGCTCGGGGCTTCCAACAGCCTGTTCGTGCTGCTCCACCACAGCAGCAGCGGCGTTGCCAGCACCTCGTCGTTTGCGAGTGCCGACGGGTTTTCAGACGTCGCACTAGCACTGTTCACGTCTGCCAACATGCTGTTGTTTGGCGACTACGACCAGACGTTGTTTGACGACAGCAGTGACGGCATCAGCGCACGCGTCATCTTTGTGGCAGTCATGTTTGTCACGCTGGTGATTCTACTGAACCTGCTGATCGCCATTCTCTCGGACTCGTACGAGCGCGTGCAGGACCGGTCTGCAATGGAGCTGACGCTCGCCAAGGCGCAAATCCTCGACGACCAGCAGTTTCTCCTGCACCGGTATTTGCTCGTCGCCTGTGGCACGCTGTGGAATTACGTCATCGCTCAGCCACTGGCTGCAACTGCCGGCTTGTTGAACTCGCACTGGCGGGTGCTGATTCTTGAACGGTTCATGGTGGACACCTCCTCCGTGTGCACGTGGCCTGCCGAAGCAGTTGTGCTCATCCCCGAGACGTCGACGCAGCGCACCCAGCCGGCGTCACGGTGGCAGGGCATGCTGAACCATCTCAAGCTCAACGTCAACGACCGGGCAGACGGAATACAGGAGCAAGCGTCTGCATCGTGGTTGGCGGTGAGCGAGCTTGCGTCGCAGAATGCAGAGATGCTGAAGCACATGCGAAGCGAAATGGCCGACATGCAGCGGGCAATGAACAGCAACTTTGCTCGGCTCCAGCAGTCGATTGAGCAGGTACCAGTAGCAGCACGCGTGCTCAGAACACTCGCTTGCACAATGAGTGTGCACATAGTGCAGAGGGACGATGAGGAGTACCATGCGTGTGTGAGACAATGGGAAGTGCTACGTGTGTGTAGAGCGAGTGGAACACGACTAATCACGATTGGGCGTGATCATCTTCTGTTCAACACTCACATGGCATCGTCTTTCGTTGTGTTTGGTGTTGAATCGTGCGTGTGTCTTGCTTTGATAATGTAGGGCAATCCAACCACATCGCAGACACAGACGGTGAGTTTGCCGAGCTCACCTGATGGGTGTAATTGGTTATGCAGGGTCCGTGTTTGCACCACCACACTTGCTTGCGAGAGCCACACGTGTAAACGCACCCCGCACCCCCGCACACACAGACACAGACAGACACACACAGACACACACAGACACACAGACACACACACACACACACACACACAGACAGACACACACACACACACACACACACCCATCACTAACGTACATACGCACTTTCACTTGCCTAGGCTGGCCAGCAATCGTCTCAAACAACCCTCCAGCAACAGGAACGACAACATCATGTGAGTTGAAAGACGAACATATTTTGCATGCAGGACATGCGTTGAGACGATGCTTCCTGCTCCACCCCCTCCCCTCAATTACTCTCATGTCTTATTCACACGCCCCTCTCTGCGAATGCCACACGCACACACACACACACACACACACACACACACACACACACACACATGCACACACACATACACATACACACACACACATGCACATACACACACACACACACACACACACACACACACACACACACACACACGCACGCACAATCATGAGGTACAGCGCCTCGACTCTGCTGACTACACGGACATGGAGGAGCTCCCTGCGACCGCCGCAGCAGCAGCAGACGCGAAGCATGACAAGGACACGGTGCCGGCTGCCACCCGTGCGCAGGATGGATTCGTCCCACCCGAGGAGTACCCAGGATCGAACGGCGTGAAGCGTTTTACCATTGACGCGTCGCAGGTGCCCTGGGATGTGGTGTTTCCCGATTACGAGCCTGTCGAGTACACCCACCCTGCGGTGGCACGGCAGCCCGTGTGGGCGGACCCTGCGGACCCGCGCGAGATCAAGTTCAATGTGAAGGACGAGGTGTTCGGCAGGGTGGTTGATCGCACGTCGTGCCACCCAAGCGGCATCAGCATCGACAGCAGCACCGGTCGCCCCATCAACCCGTGGGGACGCACGGGCATGACAGGCCGCGGCCTGCTGGGCAAGTGGGGCGTGAACCAGGCAGCGGACATGGTGGTGACGCGGTGGAAGCGGGCACCAGATGGCAGCATCCTGCAGCGCGACGGCAAGAAGGTGCTGGAGTTTGTGGCCATTCAGCGCATGGACAACAACATGTGGGCCATCCCTGGTGGCTTTGTTGACAACGGGGAGGACGTCGCCCTGACCAGCGGCCGCGAGTTTATGGAGGAGGCCCTCGGCACCAAAGACAAGCGTGGTGCGCTGAGCAAGGAAGAGGAGAAGTCTGTTGCACAACTCTTTGCTGATGGCACGATTGTCGACCGCATTTACGGCGAGGATCCGCGCAACACGGACAACGCGTGGGTGGAGACGACGTGCGTCAACTTCCACGATGAGAGCGGGCGCCACGCCGCCTGCCTCCAACTCGGCAGCGACGATGATGCCAGGACTGCACGCTGGATGATGGTGCATGGCGGGTGGAACTTGTTTGCCAGCCAACGCAAGCTGCTCCAGCTTGTCGCACGCCATCACTCCGCCTACTTTTAGAGGGAGGGTGTTTGTGTGTGTGTGTGTGTGTGTGTGTGTGTGTGTGTGTGTGTGTGTGTGTGTGTGTGTGTGTGTGTGTGTGTGTGTGTGTGTGTGTGTGTGTGTGTTTGATGCAATGCACCACCCTTGTCCTCCGTTGAACGTTTTTCGTTTTCCACAACCGCCACGCAAACTTCACGTTAGGATGTTTTTCAGTTACCCCTCATATGCCTGCTGTCTGCCTTTCGTTCCCTATCATCGCATCACAACACAACATTTTGAGTTTTATTGAGCGACTGTGCTCCGTGTCTGACATCAACAAGTGACATCTGTCGTGGGTACAACAACCACAGCAACAACATCAACAAGAAGTAGATCAACAACAACAACAACAACAACAACAACAACAACAACAGCACATGGACCCAACTCCTTACAGCATCATCAGTCCAAAGCCTGCAGTCAGCCACAACTTCCACACAACACGCCATGACCTCATGAACACAACACAATGGTTTTCTGGTGGCAACGTAGACATGCGCACAACATCAACCCATGCAGATGACAATGCCATGCAATCATCATGCAGCGACGCGCTTGTTGCGACGTGGGCGCAGGCGGCGCGCAATCGGCGTGAGCAGACGACCCATCGCACTTCCAGACTTTGTCTGATCACGTTGGTGGTGCGCAGTGCAGAGCAGAACATGGCAACAGATTGTGGAGTGAGACGTGCGCACATACAAACGCACATGGTGCACACACTTGCGTGCACATACAAACGCAAATACAAACGCACATGGTGCACTCACTCACTCGCGTGCACACACACACACACACACACACACACACACACACACACACACACACACACACACACACACACACTCACCTGTTGGGGCTCTGCGACGGGCGAGACGGTGGTGGTCGTCTTTGCGCCGAGCTTGCGGCGTTTGGACTGGCGCTTCTTCTTGGACGAGAGCGGTTCAAGCAGCGATTTCTCAAGGCGGTGCTGGGCAGGCGCAGACCTGTTGAAGAGCGCATGACACGATATGACGGCCAATGGCGAGCAAGCGGATAAGTTGAACGCAAACCACAACAACAACAACAACAACAGCAGCAGCGAAAGCTGTTTTTTAAACACGAGTGACGCACTTGTTCTCTGGCGTTTTCTTGTGCGCCATCTTGCTCGCCGCCTCTGTCATCTCGTGAACTTCGCGCTCAAACGTCTCCATGTCCTGTAAACGCGTCAGACAACACGCATGCCGCACGTGAGGAAGTAGTGATGGTTGGAGATGGACAGATACAGACTGACTCACATACAACACAGAGCATGAACGATTCGCTCAATGCCTCGGTCGATCCCGTGCACAATCACAAGCACATCGCTTCGTACAATGGTGTCGGCGCTGTCAAAGCTGTCGCCCTCATAAGCGGACGTATCGTTGTTGCTGGGCGGTGACAAACAACATTGCGGTTGCAGCATGCAAACGTGTGTGCGCAATAGGTTGTGAGTCCACGGCACAGGCAAGACAGAGCAGCATCCATGGCAGCGAAAGCATCACAACCACGCAACACCACCACCGCAGAAAGCAACAACAAACACCACCATCTCGGCAACAAACAACAACAACAACAATCAACAAGATACTAACCCAAGCGTGCGCTTGGGCGTGAGCACAACAGAATCCTCACTGCTGATGCACTTGTCAGCACTTGGGCTCTCCGCCTGGCTCAGAATCGTGTTCATGACAGACTGTTTCATGCTCGAAGCAGCAGCTGCCGCAGTGTTCACGCGAGCCACGGTGCCCTTCTCTGCGGGCGTTGCGTTGTTGATGGCGCTGAGAACAGCACGCGACTGCGGTTTCGTCATGGACTTGCGCTGCCGCTGCCGCCTCTCCCTCGCCGCCGCACGCCGCGTGCGAGGACCAGCAGCGTTCTCATCACCAACTGCAAGAAAGTACGTGTGTGTGTGTGTGTGTGTGTGTGTGTGTGTGTGTGTGAGTGTGAGTGTGTGAGTGTGTGTGTGTGAGCGAATACGTTGTGGGTGCTAGTTTGTTGTTAGCTCGACCAAACAACTGCCTCAACACCACCCACGCCCCACTCACACAGCCACAACCCCCCCCCCCCGTTTGGCTCACCCGAGGTGTCGACGGAAACGCTGCGTCTGGTCTTCTTCGTGGCGACGCGCGTGCGTGTGCGACTGGACTTGGCGTGCGTTACAGCGGCATCCCCCACCTTGCTCGTGTCGGCACCACTTGTTGTTGCACTCGCCGTGCTGTCGTCGTTTGTCAAGGTCGTGTCTTTCCCGTTGTCCATCTCAGACTCCTCTTCCGACCACGACGACGATGATGACGACTGGTTGCGCCTGGTGGTGGCACGTGTTGCTCGTGATCCCTTTCGCGTGTTGCGCTTCGATTGCACACGCTTCGCCCGCTTGCGTGTCACCGGCTTCTCCTCCTCCTCATCATCATCACCGTTGACGATGGTGCCGTTATCTTCGTCACGGTCTTTCTGCTCGAGTTCATTGCCGCTGGAGCGAATGGTCTCATCTGTGCTGGACTCAACAGCATCCGTCGTCGTCGTCGTCGTCGTTGTGGCTGTTGTCGTGTCGGTGTCTGTTGCCGTCATCATCGTGCTTGACGCACCCGTCGCAGTCCTGGAATGCACAATGCACACCGATGGTGAGCGGAGCTTGCACAACTGTCACAACTGACGCAACACAAGCACACACACACACACACACACAAGCACACACGCACACCGTGTCATATCACACAACAACGACACCACGAATCAGGGTGGACTCACGAGTATGCGAGCATCTCCTGGTCCAGCTGCTCGGAGACCATATCCGCCAGCTGCGCCTTCAGCCGGTCGTTCTCACCCTGCGGTGTGAGCGTGTGTGATCGAGGGAGTGCGAGTGCGTGTGTGCGTGTCGTGTGTCAGCAAGCTCATACAAATAACCGAGACATGCACGGACGCACAGCGCCACTCTCAGTGCTCACCTTGACGTGCTCGAGCTCAGCGCGGAGATCGTTGGTCTTCTCCTCCAACACCTTCTTCTTGTTCTTCAGATGGGCAACTTGCCTGGTGTGATAGCGTGGAGCAGCCACGATGAGCATGCAGCATGATGGTGCAGGCGCAAGGAATAAATACACGAATACAACAACAGCATGGCTGGCGGTTATGGATGCAGCATGCAATTGGCAAGATACATCTGGTGTTCACGTACCCAGACACATGTGCATACATTAAAAAACAATCCACGTGCGCATTCTTACATCTTGAATCGCTCAATCTCCTGCGCCGTGTGCTCGTCGGGACCGCACCCGTCGTCCTTCAACCGCTGCAGCTGTCAACCATCATCGCATTTGGCAACGATCGTCAGCACGTACGCACACACACACACACACACACACACACACACACACGCACCCACACACACGCACCCACGCACACACACACACCGTGTTGCATATGCGCGCTGTGCGGCACACACCCATCCACCCTTCAGCCCCAGCAAGCATTGCATGCTCTCACCTCATCGCGCAGTGTCGAAATTGTTGCCTCCAGGCGCTCCGCTTCCTCCTGCTTCGCTTCCGTCACCTTCGATTCGCAAACGCACACACAGAAACCCCAACGGCATGTGAGGACGCACAATCAACCTTCAACGCGACACATCACATCACGCCACGCCACACTGTCTGCAGCCCACTCCATGTCACCTTCTCCAGCTGCTCCTTCAGGTCGGAGATGTGGCGCTCCTGGGTTTCAATTGCTTCCCCGAGCGTGCGCGCAGTCTCTGTCCAGTCGGTGACGACGGTGATGATGTTGGTGGGTGGTTGCAGTGATGATGGTATCAGTTGTGATGAACCACGAGGGAGTGGGTGGGTGAATTGAAGTGTGAGGACAACGAGCAATGAAACCATCCACGAGCAGCGATATCACAAGCGAACCGTAATTGATCTTCCAAGGTACAAACACCCCGACGCCCCCTACACACATGCTGCGCACCGTACGACGATGTTTGGAGCTCTTCCAGCCTCTCCTCCATCTCGTGAAGTTTCTCCAGGTACTCGTTGGCCTGGTCCTCCATGCGCTGTTGACGGTTGCAGTGGTGGTCGTGGTGTAAGCGAACCGCGCATGTAACGAACAATGTGTTTGTGAGAAGCAGCAAACGGCAAAGCAAGCGGAGTGCAATGTGCCTCAAAGAGGGTCACATTTGGTGACACACGCTCACCAACACATGCAGCACACCTTGGTCTCTGCATCAAATGTCTCGAGCGGGACGGTTGTGTCCATCAACTGCGAATGCTCCGCCTGTCACACGCACACACCCACATATTCACGCACGCACGCGCATGTTGTTGTGAGAACAAAGAGCGCGCAGCGGCACCGTAGTGCACACACGGTCACGTGAACACACGCATCAAGTAAACATTAACACACACACACACACACACGTAAACACACGCATAGAACACACACACACACACACGTACACGACCACACACACACACACACACACACACACACACGACGAAACACACACACACACACACACACACACAAACACGGTCACGCATGTGCACACACCTGCAGCTCGTCCAGCCGCTCCTTGAGATCGGAGATGACGGATTCGTATTCCGCCTCTTTTGTCGAAAACTCGCTTGTGCGCGCCTGTACATGTGTGAAAGCACACGCACGTGCGTGAATATGTGAGAGAGACAAACCGGAAATGATCGAGAGCTACTGAGATCCACAACCAGGGCTGCACACACAGACAAAGCACACAACACACGCACGAAAACATGTACACTGCATTCAAACCGTCGCACCTTGATGGCCTGCTTGGCGGCGTCTGCGTCCTGCTGCGCCGTGCGGAGTTGGGACTCAAGATGGTGCACGCGCTCCCTCATCGCCGACATCTCAGCCCCACTCACCAAGTGTTGCTGAGGCTGTGAGGAGGCACTGTCGCTATCATCCATCATCGCCTCGCTCTCGTCCTCCTCTGCAAATGCGTCGTCGTGCTTGCAGGCACGGCCGCCACCGCGCTTGCTGCGTTTGTTGCGCTGCTGTGCACCGTTGCCGTCGTCGCAACTGGCGAGACGGGAGCGTGTTGCATGGCGAGCAACGCTCTGCGTCACAACAGCAAGCTGCTTCTCGCGGCTGAGCGCAGAGATCACAATGTACGAGAGCGAGATAGTGTGCATGTGAGTGTAGAGGGGGGGGGGGCGGTCAAGGGCGCGACAATGCGAAGCAACCCAGGTATTGCTGGCGACATGACTGGCGTACGCCAGAACAACAACAGGCACAAGAAGAGCACCAGCAGCAACAGTACGCCGCCAAACATGCTTTGGGTTTTGCTGTATCTCACGTTTCCTCGGCAATGTCATCCTGCTGGCGGAAAATCTGCTCGTACGTCTCCTCAACCTGTCGAGCAACGACAATGATGATGATGGTCATGGGCAGTGGTGGTGCAGCATACAGCAAAGGGGCATTGGTGTGCCGTCACACGCAACACACACACACACACACACACACAGAGACGGCAAAACCAATCAAAGCAGCAGCAGCAGCCTGCTGCTGCTGCTGCCCATTGCTGTCACTTGTGTTCACCTCAACAAATTGGTCTGAGAGCTCGGCTGCAATCTCCTCACGAATGCGCAGCTCCATATCCTCTTGGGCGCTGTATGGTGGCAGTGGTGGCAGCGAGCACGTGGTGAATTGGCGCACATGAGAAGCAAGATCAGATATGACACGCTTGCGCACATGCACGGAAACACACACACACACACACGCGCGCGCGCATATGCAAGTTTCACCGCACGTTTTGGCGCGTTCGAGCTCCTTTTGCAGTTCAAAGACTTGATCTTGCAGCGTGTCATTGTGGTTTCGCACCACATCCAGCTCTGGTGCCGACAACAGTGGTGGCGACAAATGAGGCACGAGAACAGAGCAAGGATCACACGCATGTATGTATGGGAGGTGAGATGGTTGGAGGTAAGGGTGCACCGGTATGCAAGCGTGTAGAGGCGCGACGGTGAACACGGCAACTCAAGCAATAACAACAACAACAACAACAACAACAACAACAACAACAACAACGACAGCAACAACAACAACAGGAGCACGAGCAAAGAGCAAGAACAACAGCAGCAAACAATTACCACGACCCCACCACAAAACTCACGCTTCTGCAGTGCCTGGATGTGCGCAACATCAGATGCGCGGGACACATTCGCCGTCGCCGCCGTCGTGGTGTTGGCAGAGCCGCGGGTGGTGTTGGCGCTGAGAGGGGATGTGGAGGGTGGTACTGAGTTGAGTGGTCGAATCGATGAGGACAATGGAAGGAACAAAGGCATGACAAGGCGCGCAGACCCACTTATGAGGGCATCACGCACATGCACACGCACACATGCGCCCACAATGCGCAACGTGCACGTGCGAGGAAGAACTCACGATGTCTGGCGCGTTGTGTTGGCGGAGGGCAGTGCCGTGGACTGGGTGGAGAGACCCGTGTCAATCTTGGACGTGATGGGCGGTTGCGTAATCTGTGGTGGGCACACGCACATGCACGCAATAGTGGGGTAATAGCTTGTTTGAGGAAGAAAGAGGGGCAAAGTGACGACCAGCAAGGGAAGCGAGAACAGCGAAAAGGGAGTCGTACAACAACCCTAACAACAACAGCAGCAACAACGACAGCAGCAGCAGCAGCAAGCCATGAAGACCATTCCCATCTTGCCTTTCCCATCCGACCTTGCGTGCGACGGCGCTGAATTTGAGGACGTGCAGGGTCTCGTCGTAGGCGGTGGCGCACGCACTGATGTTCACCACCATGCGCACAGACCCCTGCAAGGATGGCCGCGACGGTAGCGATGATGATGAGGTGGTGGTGGTGGTGGTGGTGGTTGTGGGGGGGGGGGGTTCACGAGGGGATGAAGCACAAGCTCAACCAATGCGCCCTGAATGCACTCACAAACGTGTCACAGGCGCGCACTCAACATACGTCACAATAACCAACCAACGCAATCACATCAACCACAAACACACCATGCCGAGCAGATACGACTGGAACAGCCGCGTCAGTTTTGAATCCCGAAACGGAACGCGGCGGTCATCTCTGCGCAGCAGCAGTGCAGACAAGTGCGCGTGTGTTCGTTTACATGTGAGCGCGTGTGCCAGCGTGTGAATGAGCAAGCGACCAAACAGGCACAGATGCGCGCGCGTATGTGTGTGTGTGTGTGTGTGTGTGTGTGTGTGTGTGTGCTCAGTCACACATGTAGGTGCCACCATGCCCAAACCACACACCACCACCACCACCAACAACAACAACAGCAAGACCACCACCACCATATCACATCCCACAACGCACTTTGTGGCCTGGTTGTGCCTGAGAATCTCAATGCACTGCCCGAGGGTCATGATGGACTTGTTGATGTTTGCCGCCTCCTTCAACTTCATGCCGCGTGCGCGTGTGTTCACGTTCCGCTCGCTCCCCGCAAGATCAACCAGCGACAATTGGCTGCGTCGCAGTTGTGTGATGACACGTGATGTGATGTGTGGATGTGATGTGAGGGTGTGCGCGCGTGTTCATTGGAATCAATCACAAAGCACATATGTTATGCAAGCGCGCACCTCAAGCACAACACAGCAACCACAACAGTCATGCAGACTCACCTGACGTGAGCGTAGTGTGGCTGGGGCACATTGGGGAAGCGAACAATCTTCAGCGTGAAGATGCAATGGCTGCAGAGGGTGTGTGTGTGTGTGTGTGTGTGTGTGTGTGTGTGTGCGCGCGCGTATGTGAAGTTGCGCTTGCGTGAGATGTGGCAGATAACCCAGCACAGTTGTGCAAGCAGTGGCAAGCGCACTACAGCAGAAGTCAACACACCGCTACCACCACGCCTCCATCATCATCATCATCATCATCACCACCACCACCACCATCGTGGTCACCTGCGCGAGGAGTTGATGTTGAGGTTGTTGGCGGCGACGCGGCGGTTGCGCCGACCAACACCGAGCACGCGAAATGCCTCGTCCACCGTCTCAACCTGGATCTCACGCAGACCTAGAGCAGTAGTCGTAGTGGCAGTGGTGGTGTTGGTGGTCGGGAGCAGCGCGGTGTGAGGTGGTGGTTCACAGGGAGGATTGCAGCTCATTGAAAAAAAAAAAAAAAAAAGCACCAGCAATGACACTTCCCGCAACACACCACACGCACACACACATGCTACAAGCGCAAACACACACGCGCGCACACACACACACACGTACACACACCTTCGACGTAGATGTTCTTGTTTTTGTCGAGACGAAGGCGCTTCGACACGCGTCGCTTCTCTGTGATCGCACACACAAACAAGTGTAAGCACGCGTGACGTGATGTCAAGGTGAACAGGTACACACCCAACATGACGGCGTTAACCGCAGTCCCCAGCCACACGTACAAGCGAAGTATCACCATGACTTTGCACAAGGTCCAACGAAACACCCCCAACACACACACAAACACACACGAACAGATGTCATCCAAGCAGGCCAGCGCACCCTTTTTCCCTGGCGGCGGTTCGAGGAGATCATAAATGCGCTCGTTGTACACCTCAATGTACGTCACAAACACAGAGTACTGGCACATGTGCAAACACAGACAGTCACAAGCGAGGGTGAGGTGGTGGTGTTATGCAACGGGCGTGACCGCACAATGTTCAGCGCAGCCGTATCTTGGTCATTCGCACGGCCCAAAATGATGAAAGGTGTGACCACCACCATCCAACAGCCATCCCCTCCCCTACCATCGCCTCCACCACCTTGCAGTCTGGGTCGACGTTGAGGCACGTGCTCTCCGCAACGCGGTCCTTTACCATCCGCTCAAACTCGGCATCCTCCTCAAACGACGCAGAGGCAGCGGT